AGCTAACTCAGAGCATCACCTGGTGGTAATTCCGGGAACTTTTTGATCAAGGTGTTATGTCAAATGGACGATGTGTATACATCAAATGAGCATCTTACAATTTTTATTTTGTCATTTTAAAAATATTTAGTAACATATAAAATTAACAATAATTATGTATAATGGCATAAGATATTGTTAATAACTTTTTTATTCCATTATTTTAATTGTGTTTTACATATTATTATGAATAAACCGTCTATTGACTAGGAGGTAGCGCGAGAATCTCTTTAATTATTCATTTTCTATATCATGTTTTTATATTTCATTGTTGGTATAAAATATATCTGTAAGTTGTAAATTTAAAAATGACATATGTCAAAGCTTGAAAATCTTAGACATATCTTGTGAATTTTTTGTATGTTACATCGCTTTTAAATATAAATTAATTCATATAACACGTCATTAATTTGATCTTATGTTACATAAATCTTTTTATTGTAGCGATTATATAATTTTAATATACATATTAATTATAAATATATATATAATTATGTATATTTTTATTTAATTAAATAAAAAAATATTTTAGAAAATTGTTTCAAATGCAATGGAACCCAGGTGTGAGAAATTGATAAAAGTTACGTAAACTCGAGTTTTCAAAAATCCCGCGAAAACGGACAGTTTTATTGATCATTGTTCTCCTTTCGCAGGCGTTAACACACAAGCGGGTACTCACATCTGGACGAGCCTTAATACGTCAATGCGAATATTTATCGTACGCGGAACGTTTCGTGCAATTTCGCGACTAAACATAAGAGTCCAAAATTCTCGGACTTAAGAAGAAAAAAAGTATACATGAGTTGACGTGAGTGAGTGCCCCGTCATCGCTGGAAAATCCTTCGGACATGAAGGAAGTGCACAGCTGAACTTTGAAACTTTGAACTGCGCTATCAGCAGGTTTTAGCACGTTCTACGCCGAGTCAGCCGAGTGCCGCTATCGCAAGATCTTCGGAGAAACAGACGTGAAATCCGAAAACGATGGCACCAAGACGGAGTAACAATATCAATAGTAATCAGCTCAGGAATTCTAGCTTTCCGTCCAGGTAAGACATCGGTGTCTGGTATCGACGCGTATCCTCGAAATAATCTTACAAACAATCCTCAGAAGTAATCTTGCAAACAATCCTCAGAATCATGGTGATGTCACAAGACATTCAGCTGATCATTTTGCGACCGAATTCTACACCAGTTGCCTTTACATTCTGTTTTGATGTCTTATTCTTTGTTTATTCGAGCCATAGAAAATAAAAAAGAATAGTTGTGTGTATATCTAAAATAAATATTTGATCATTTTCAGTAGATTTAATCTTTTAATTGTAAGATTGTTATTAAGCCTGTTCTTTTTAGCTGAACTTCTTGCACAGTTCAGCTTTTCTCTTTTTTTTTTGCATTAGAGAGAAAAGATAAACTGTGCAAGAATTTAAGTTTGGCTAAAAAAAAAACAGGCCTTTTGATACTTTAGTATGCAGCTCTCTCTTTCTCTTGATAATCATTTAATAATAATTCTTTTATACATTTGAAATATATAGATTACAATTTTCTATTTCACATAGAAAGTGATTAGATTGACGCCTGTCTCAATGACATTTAAAACAAACAATGCAAATTTTGACCCTGTCCAGCATGCCGGGATCACACTCCTTTCAAACTGGAGCTGGAGCCATTCCACCTCCGTTACCACCTCGCCAGCCAGTTCAAAGTTATTTAGGATATAACGATTATAGACCATATGGTTCGAGTTATGGCTATGGCAATTATGGATATGGAGGTTACAGAGGTTACGGTGGATATGGATCTTTTGGTAGTTACATTCCCTATTCTGGCAACAGCTATGGACAAATTGGAGGACATAGTGGTGATGTGGAAAATAGGTATATTGGAAAAGGAGGTCATCTATAAGTATCTAATTGAGAATTAACTACTGAAATATAAAATAATGAAAGGATAAAAATGTAGAACTTTCTTAATTGATATATTGTGTTTAAGAAAGACGTAGTAATTCAGTCTCAATGAACTCAAGAAAAAGTATAGATTATGCAGTCAAAAAGAATAGATCTAATGCAAATTCAATTATTAATATATCTCTCCTGAGTTTTAAATTCTTGTTTGAAAAAGTATCTTCAGTTACATCCAAGCTTCTTGGATTATATATATATATATAAAATGTTCATTTCTACCAAAAATTAACTTTAATCTCTTTAATTTTACCAATTTTTATTAACTTTTTATCTTTCTCTTATTTTAAAATGCCGATATTCATATTCTGTTTTTATTTCAAAATCATCTTAAGTAATGGCTGCGTTCAGCAGAGAAAACTAATTAGTTAGCGCTTAGTGATTCTTTAATATGATTGGTTCTTGCCTTTAATACTTCACTGGACCTAAGTGTAAATATAGGAACCATATATTGAAGAATCACTAAGCGCTAACTGATTAGTTTTCTCTGCTGAACGCAGCCAATGCTAATACGCCATTCTTATGATTGTCTTGAGATTGTACTTAGAACAGTCTTAAATATAAGAGCTGCCTCTGAATACCAGCTTGAGAATGAGAAAAAGATAAAGAGTAAATTAAATCAAGATTAAAATTAAATTGCATGGATAGAAACAATTGATAGAACATTAAAGGGTTCGCTTTTCATATTGCAGATTTCAACAGTATGTAGAGGAGAGCACAAGATCGACTTTTCGTGTAGTAGAGACCGTATTACATACATTTTCGTCCATCACAATGTTACTGGAATCAACATATTTTGCATTGACAAATTCCTTCCGTGCGATTTTAAGCGTGGCAGATAATATCGGTAGACTGCGGTCAACAATCGGCCAGTTATTAAGCACGTTTGCTTTAATCCGCGCCATGAAATGGATTTACAGAAGGATTTTATTTATGCTTGGTAGGTTTTTATATAACCAAACCTTTTTTGCCTATTTACATAATTTATTATCGTTTAATAATCATTCTATTGCTAGGTCTTCAAACGCAAAATGCTGTCGTCGAAGACTTGTGGCAGCAATCAATATCACAACTAACAAACGGAGAACAGACACCAATGACGACGACGACAACGAACGAAAGGATTTCTCCTTGGATGAATATTTTACTCCTCGGAGCGTTTGTCGCTATTCCATATTTAATTCATAAGATAACGAGTAACATAAGGCAAAATCAAATAAAAGGTAATTGCTTTTGCATCTTTAAGTCCATTTTTAATCTAAATACGTGATACATTTTTACAAATAACGATCTTCCGTCACTAAACTTTTATGCTTGGAAAAATGTCTAATCATTTTAATAAAAATTTTACAAAAATAAAATGCCACTTCGTATATAAACTAATTTTTCCTTACTGTAATTTCTTTTAAGATATGTTTTGATACTTTATATATTGGTTAAATTTACAGTTAATGATCCGAAAGAATGGGTGAAATGCGAGGATCCAGTATGTGTAGCAACAGCAATGTACGATTTCATGGCAGTTTCTAATGAGGAATTGAGCCTGAGAACTGGTCAAAAAATATGGTTGGCGCCGCGCTCCCTGCAATCTAAGAGCATACCAGGTTGGTGGATAGCCACCGATAATAGGAATGTCGGTTTGGTACCTGCTAATTATATAACTATAGTCGGACAATTGAAGAGAAAATCAGAATCGGAAAACAATGGAAATGTCATTACATCTACGGTAATTCCAACTTCTATGCAAAATGCAACCGCTTCTGACGAACAGATGAATACGGTAGAACCTAACACTGGCCAACAAAATGCTGACTTTTCTGAGAATAATATTAAAGACGATCTATTTTAGTCGAAATTTATTGAAAGATCTTGATTTAAATCATTCAAATAGTGACATTTAAATCGTTCACAAAGTGACATTGTCTACTTTAAATGGCCTATTATATCTTTATAGGACATGACTGATATAAAGTAATATTACAAAACACGCCATATTTACTAGGTATCAAACAAAGCGCAGTGAATCATTTTCAATATGTGATTAAATTACGTTAGTCGATTTACTTGACACTTAATGATTTATTTCTATTGGGGAAAAGCTCACAAATTACCATAAAATACGATTTTGCTATTTTTATTTTACACAGTAATATATTATCTCTTTATATATTAAGTTATCCGAATAAAGAGGAGTTTGTAACATTTGTATTTGTACATATTAAAAATATATTTGTACGTATTAAACAAATTTAAGGCTTTAATTCGATATTTAATTAAAAAAAAAAAAGAAAAAAGTACGAACTGTGTTTCACAAACGTGCATCCAAATTTTTTAAAATGAATTTCTGCAAATGCGATATTTCGATCTCGCATTTGTATCTAGTTGCAATAACATTCATACTCGTTGAACACTTAAAAATTTTATGCCAAAATTTTATAAACAGTAATAACGAGCATATATCGCAGATTTTCGTAGTGAAAAGTCATATATTTAAAATCTTCAGTTAATGATATAAAATTCTACATAAAATTTCGGCCAAAATTTCGCCATCTTCAGTATGTCATTAATAAATTTTAAATATAATAAAACCCATATAAAAGTCCATTAACATAACCGCATATTTAGGAAATTAAAATGTCAATAATATATATTTAAATATCTCAAAGACACACGTTAGTAAGAGTTTATCCAAAATTTTATAATTTTTTATTCACAATTAATTAATTGATTGTAACTGCTTACTCTCATGGAACAAGAGGAATTGATAAGTTGTATGTCACAAGCTCCCTTTAAATATTTACAATATAGTGTCACAAATCTTATACGTAAAAGGAAGCACAGGGCAATAAAATTGCGTTTGTACTCTGAAATCAGATAGATGGCATAAAAATTAGCTGCAATATTAGCTGCAGATTATTTCAAATATGAAATTGTTCGAAAGTGCAAAATCTCCATGACATATTCGATATCGAAAATCACTGACGGTTAGAGTTTATATAAATATTATTATAAATTCAAAATATATAATCCTATTTACAAATCCTATATCTAAACATATGTAATTTTTAATCTACGTAGACTTCAATATGTGATAAAAAATTGAACTGCTTCAATTAGTAAAGCAGTCTGCCTTTTTTGTTGCCGAATTAAAAAACCCGATGGAAATGCGCTGAAGTATAGATACAATTGTTCGGAAAAAACTATATTATTTTTAATGTGTGCAATTAAAGTTTTGTACATTTTGTAATATTTTTATTATATAACTACTTTTTCTGCTAGCTTCATGTAGTATTTTATAATGGAGGTAATTTAAAAACTTATATGTACATATATATATATATATGTAGGCACATTTTTTCGCTAATGAAAATTTAAGATATTGAATTTGTGAGATTTAACAATCCTAATTCTTCAACGTTGAGAATGTTTCTATTTATGGCGTTTTGAATAAAATTTATTAAATTTTATTGTATGCTAGATGATATATGTTGAAAGATATAGGTTATAAAAAAATGTTTTATTTTATGTTTGAAGAGTCTAATGAGAAATGACTCTTATTTCCGTGGTTCATTTGGAAAAAGAAATATTATTACATAAAGGATTTTAATGAAATAAAATGTTTTACCATTAAACTGCCTGTAAATGTGAGTTTGAGAACCAAAAATTGTATCAATCAAAATCTAATTAGGAACAATCCCATAAAACTTAAGATAAGCATCGATTTAAACGTGTACATATAACAATAAATACAAAACAAAATAAAGGATATAATTATGAACTTTGAATGCCCATCGTTAAAGAAATTACGATTGCCCAAAAGTTTTTAAACTAACATGCACACACACGCATACATGCACATTTATAGAGTACAGTTTTCTTGTGAAACATTTATTTTCCAAGAAGTTTAGTTAAACTTGGAATATATAAGGCATATGGCGAACAACATGTAGATACCGTAATATTTTACGAACAGCACCTGTATATTATCATATTCTACAAGATATATGATTTTTACCAAAATTTTCATAAAATATATACGCTTTTTTGGTAATCTCATAAGATTAGAGATTTGGCCAAATTTTTAAAATAAATTACCTAGATTAAAAAATGTCATTATTCGAAGAATCTTCGGCAAAGAGAGATACAATACAATACAAAAATTGCACACTATTTTGGCATATTCATAATCACATTGTCAGTTTTGAAGAAATCTGTTTATATCGTTCCCCAATTATACAATTATCTTAAATTAATAAACATTAATCTCCATTCACAAATTATGATTTAAAAATAAATTTTTATACACACTCACTAATTTTGTTTAAACTTTAGCGCGTGTAATAACAAAATTTGCTCTCTAATTCGAATTTTATAACTTATTTGACTAAGACGGTTTAAATTGTTCTGAAAGTTAGTTAATATAATTTTTTAATACAACTCCAAATAGATAATTGCTAAATATTAGATAAAAATCTAAAAATTAAATGGAAAATATGTTACAACACTTAACAATATTAAATTATTCTAAAGATTTTGAGTAAAATAAAAATTAAGTTTTATCACTTACAGAGCAATCTAAATTTTCTCAGTGAAACACCGATAATAGATCTCTTAAATGCTGAAATGTCCTCCATTCCTTCTGCTAAATGAATTTGTCAATCCTGGTAACAGTAGTAAGACACATTTATTGTTCCAAATCACATATATAAACGATGGTTTTGCAATCCTTTAAAATCCTTCAACTCAAACATACATACGATATCGTATTGTTTTTAGATCATCACAAATAGAAAATGGAAGTCCTCAACTTTCTTCCACATGAAAAAGTTCATAATTGAGGATTTCAAAATATATATATGTATATAATATATATTATGTATATATCAGTAGAGTACATAATTTTCACATTCATTATCCGTGATGTTAGTGGCTCTAGATCCACTAATCGATATGATGCTTTTGCCAATGTGTATATATACGTGGGTGGTTCAAGTCAAACCAGGACTTTTATTTTTATATTCATGAGAATAAAAGTCCTGGTTTGACTTGAACCACCCACGTATATATATATATGTGTGTGTATATACAGGGTGTTTCATTTTGAGTGATATTATCTCGCGAATCGATGATTTTAATGAAAAATTTTTCGAACGAAAGTTGCATGGCTTGAAGGGGGACACATGATGGAAATGTGGACTTGACCTTGAGTGACCTTGTCAAAATCAGATCAAGGTCATTAATGTTTTTTTAAATGGAAACCCATTTTTTATTATATATTCTTGTAAATTATCTCGAGAGCTTTCCAAAATACTATAATAAAGTTATTTTTCATTAAGTATTTTCCGAGTTATGGAGCTTGAAAGTTACAGTACCACCGGCGTTATCCATGTATTTCATTTGTTAATCGGCCGGATCAGTGATCGGTCTTGCCTTATAACTTAACAAGTACTTAACGAAATTTAAAAAACCTTATTAATGACTTTGACCTGATTTTGACAAGGTCACTCAAGGTCAAGTCATTTTCATCATGTGTTCTCCGTCAAGCCATGCAACTTTCGTTCGAAAATTTTTCAATAAAATCATCGATTCGCGAAATAATCGACCATATCACTTAAAATAAAACACCTTGTATATATATATATATATGTACACACAATCATTCAGTCAATATATATACATAACGCATTCCCGCTCCAATAAAGTTCATTCATTTGCTAGAAAAAGCTAACTAATCCGTCGTGGATCGTTTTAGAAGAAATCTCGGCGCCCACAAGCAAGTTTCCACTAACGTATGACTAACAGTAGGAGAGAGATTCTTGTACAATTTTTTTAAATTTATATATTCGTAATTTGCACTATATGAAATCATGCATATTAGCCCCCTATGTTTCTCTTGACTTTCAGTCTTGAATTTTCTTATATTCAGAAAAATATAATTCGAAAGAAAAATGTAATTAATATATTAATGTAGAATATTCAAGACTGCATAATAGTAATAGAATAAAAAAAATAAAATCTAACATATTTTTAACGTTTGTGACTTATTTAATTTCAACAAGTAGAATCGGCTAAATGTAGAATGTCTAAATATCTCGAATATTCTGCTATTCAGAGGGCTAAAGATACAACACAAAATTAACAATGATATTTCTAATAATGTGATAATGTTCGTCATTGTTCCCCTATACTGTAAATTTCCTTGCCTGCGGCAGCATCACGCAATCGATAGAAGAATCGCCGTAGAGATTATCATATCTGTCATATTAACGTGATTTCACGTGAACACATCATCAAGTTGCCTTTATATGCAGTCTCCCTGAGTCGAGCTTACTGTGGGCAACACGATATTCACAACGCACTTAAGAGTTACCATTCAGCGTCCCCATTTGCCTTTTGGAACACATAATCTTTTCCACTTAGATTCATTATACCGTCCTTCAGATAAAATTTCCACTTATTCCGACTCCTTGTAATCTGAAAATAAAACGTTATCGCATGTGACTCCGAGTTGAAACATCGTAATGTACAGAGTATTACATAAACTTTATCGTAAACTTAAACATAAATCACTATCATACCTTATCGTACTGGCAGACGACTACATTATCGGTGTCGAAGAGATCAGTAGGATCGTCGTCCGTAACATCATCTTCGGAATTAAGGGGTTCCTAATACAAATAATTCCTCTTGTGAGACAATCGCTCAACTTATGTGAAATTTATTTATAAATATTAACCTCTTCACGAGCCGCAGCCTCATCATTTTCTTCTTCCTCTTTCTCATCAATATCTTCGTCATCATCGTCGTTATCCTCTTCTTCCTCTTCATCGTCATCGTCAGTAGAATCACCGACTCCTCCGTCTAACTGATTTATATTATTTTGCTGTTGGAAAAATGAATAATGTATGATATGTTACCTATATAATATACATACATGTGTACGTGTAAGCACTTATCTATTATCTTATCTTTTACATTATGTTCTCTCAGTCTGCGTAGACTAAATATTTCCTTCTACCTGATTTTGAGGTGGCCTTTGTGTAACAACACTGTTTGTACTTTGTGTAACCACTTGAAGAGGCTGATTCACTTGTAATGGAGTTAATGCTGCTTGCCCTTGCAATGTAGAATTTACATGTTGTTGTAATAGAGTCGAAGCTAAATTTGCTGGAAGACCCATAGCGGCGGAAATTACCGGACCTGTTAAAATTGTATGCAGCTGGTTTGCTGAAAAGAAAAACAAATAATCTTTTTATTTACATAGATAAATAGTTGACATGTGTGTATGTATGTGTATTTACAAAAGATTTTTTTTACATAATAGACCTGTTCTTTTTAACTGAACTTTTTACTTTATTTTCTCTCTTTTTTTCCAATGTAGAGAAAAAAGGAGGAAAGACGAGCTGTGCAGGAAGTTCAGATAAGAACAAGCCTCAAAATAAATAATAACAAAAAATACAATATAAATAGATCTATATATTCATATTACAATATATATGTAAATATATTTTTATTATACAAAACTTTATGGAGATTTATACTATGAAAATTATATCTAACAAGATATGAAATATACAAATCAATTTGTGTTACACAAGTTGGTTTTAATGAAGCACAATAAAAGCCTCACCTTGAAGAGCAGATGCAGGAACTTGTATGCTTAAAATACGTTGTGGTCCGTCCGGAATACCAGCTTGTGGAGGTAAGGTGATCTGTATGGGTACTTGTCGTTCGAGCACAGCTGAAGCAGTCACTACTTGCTGCACCGGCGTCGTCGAATGTTGCTGCTGTTGCTGCAATGTTGTTCCTGTGGAAGGATGCGTGTGTTGTTGAGGTTGCGACGATTGCTGTGACTGTGCTTGCACTTGCTGCTGCTGTTGCGATTGTTGTTGAGGTTGTGTTTGCGGTACTGTATTTCCAGCAGATGGTTGTACAAAATGATTTCCTATATTAGCTGTTACAACATCAAATTTATAGCAATAACTTATTCATACAAAATGCATCACCATTACTGAATGTTCTACACTCAGTAACAGTGAACCACCTTGCATAAATTATATTGCAATTCACTGTAATAAATCATTTGTTAATTATACGTTCAATCTATCAATTAAAGCTATTATTTTTGACAACTTTGAAGAGTCGAAGTTTTGAAAGAATTCAAATTTTCAAAGTTAACTTTCAACTCTGAAGTTTTCAAAGCACTTCAAACTTCTTAATGTTCAGAATTAATTTCAAAAATTCAAATTCTTTCAAAACTTTGAATCTTCAAAGTTGTCAAAAGTAACAATATCTACAATCAATGCTTACCTTTATTGACAGCTTTGTGCGTATTGATTTGAGGAACTTGCGGCTCTGGTGGATCTGGATTTAATTCCACGGCCTTGCTAGCCATTAATTTTCCTTCCCATATTTGCTTGAGCTCTAGTAAAACCTGCTCATCCACACCTTCATCTATAAACGACTCTCGTACTCCTGATATTACATCTTCTATCACAGTGTTGTACAATTTCAGCTGTATATAAAATGATTTATGTAGTATTGAGTCCTTTTGACATTGCAAGAATATTAAAAATATATATACACTGAGAAAAAATTTATTAAATTTTAATATATATTTATAGTACTAAACATTTATTTACAATAAATAAATATCTACTTAATAAAAAAGTAATTGCTAAATCACATTAATTTTCTTGTATCACATAAATGTGTTTGCATTTAGTAAATATTTATTTAGTAGTGTTCAAACAAATATTCATTAAAATTTAAATCTTTTCAGTGCATATGCTTAAAGAATATAGTGTATATTTCTATAAATTATAATTTATCTTAAGTTGTACCAATAAATATTACATAAGCATAAATATGTAAATGAATTGCTATTCGAAAATTAAAATATAAATCTATTATGTATAAGCATAGATATTTGTATACAAATTATATTATTTCTGTACATCTTTTATACATTCAAATTAGTATCTTCTATTTAAATCCTCTTTGACAATAATCAAATAATAAATTTATAAAGATATTAGAAGCATAAAAAGAACATAATTGTGTATCCCATATAAATCTGCACTTGCAGATTTATACTGGTCCCAATTTAATTTATTCCAATATTTCCATCAAGCTAGAGATACCGATAATTCCTACATTAAGGAAAAGATTCTATTTCAATACACCAGTCAAGTATGTAAACACTTGGATATTTGCTCAGAGATATCAGTGTGTAAAATATCATATGTAAGGCGCAGCTTGGTATTTAAATATTAAATGATGGTACGCCAGAATCAGAGAGCCACGTTGAACAACGTAAACGTGCCATCATTAGGACCTTTCAGCCAAGATGCTGAGCCAAGGATTTCCCCGATGCTCCCGCGGTCGAGTGTACCGCGCCGTCGGAGCGCGCGGCATTCTGTGGTGGATATCGAAAGATCCAGAACAATCCGGAGGAAAGCCCCTCGTTATCTCGGGGAATTGTCCAGAATGCGTAAACGCCTGTGAAACGCGGACGTTCAGAGCGTAATGCTCGCTGGTTTCTACTCACCACGCTGGTCTGGCTGAGAGCCATCGTGGCGCGACACGCACGATCGGCGTGGACGCACGCCCGACCGGGAAGGGAAGCAAAACACCGATGATCCGCGAGGATGTTATCTTGTCCACGTCGTTACAGAACTTTCAGAAGTCACACCGGTGCATCGTCGAAAGACGAAGAGAGGAAGGTTTCGGAAGCCTCGTATCCGATCGGTACTCGTGAAAACGAAATGCAATGCACACGGCAGCAACCCGCCTCACTCCGTTCCACACTCCGTCCACGAAGACACGAACACCGTCGAGCGTCGACAATGATCGACAACCTTCGGACTGGCCCGGCGTATACTCGCCAATGCTCGCGCGTGACCTACGACACGAGCACCCGATCTCTATTGGGTCTTCGAGATACTATGATAGGGATGTGCGATCTCGATTCGATTTTCTAAAAGATCGATTTTTTAATGGATTCGCAAGGATCCGATTTTAAGGTAGATCGATTCATTGGGTGCGTTCAGCAGAACGTTTGTTTTGCAACTGTTGTAAGTTTCCTTCGCGCTAATTGGATCATACTTTTAGATCTAGAAGAATGGTCCTATCTCAGCAGACAATCATAAAACGGTTGCAAAACTGTTGAGTCTGCTGAACGCAGCCCCTCTAATCAGAGTCGGGACACGAGAAAAGAGACTCTAGTTAGAGACTCTCTTCACGGTCTCTTTCTCTTAAGGATCTCTAGTTTCAGCAAAATCACACGAAAGAGAGAGGAATACGTTGTGTCTCTTTCTAACCTTGATAGTTTCTCGTGAGCTGTATATATCTTTCTGCTCTTGAAGATTAATACGACTTATTAGAAGATTAATAAAAATAATTGCAAAATGGTTGGGTGTGCAGCCCCATTTTGCACAATTCTGCAGCGAAAGGCTACGTAATGAAAATATTTCCGCGTGATGCTAAACGTCGAATATTATGGGCAACAAATGTTGGAAAAAATTGGATACCAACGAAAAATGCATATCTATGATAAAAATGCATGACTTTGATAAAAAAAAAAAGATAAAACATAATTCTTTTAGTAAGCATTACTTCCACATATAATGTGAGAAATCTATCTAATAATAACTTAAAAATGTTTAATCTTGTTTTGTTTAATTTTAACAATAATACAAATGTATATACTTTGGGCGATATCCGTATCGGAACACTAAGGGTGAAATCACACAGTGTGGAAAAAGACTGCGGAATAGAGAATGCGTCATTGAAGCAACCAATCAACGCTATTCAGCGCTATTCGGAATAGCGCTGATTGGTTGCTTCAATGACGCATTCTCTATTCCGCAGTCTTTTTCCACACCGTGTGATTTCACCCTTAAAATCGATTATATCGATTCGAAGTAGACGAAGTTTTTAACCTTGTTAAAAAAAAGAAACGATTCTTTGTAAATATATTGGTTTAAAATGGCATCATCTTGGTTGGAAAAATTGATTTTTCGCAAAATAGATTAATTTATAAACGAATTTTAGCGTATGATACGCGCATCGCCCATTCCTATAATATAGATATTTAATTAGCTGAAATTGCTGAAAAATGGCGGACCAATCAAAACTGGCTGTCTGATATCGCGACTCTGATTAGAGGGTCTCTAGAATCAACTAATCACATTTTTGTCTGTATGCACTTTCCTGCGTTTAATAACGCTGGCATATTGGAATAGCCAATCAATTTTTTGCCAGAATTCACGCTACTACTGTGCAACCACGGGAACGGAACACCTGGGAGCTTTTACGTTTTTTGTGACGAAGTGAAAATTACAAAAATGATCAAATTCACTAGATGTTAACCAATGAAGTTATAAATATTCTAGTAAATTCAATCACTTTTGTAATTTTCACTTATTACGATTACAAGGAATCGTAATAAGCCCCCTGGGTTACATTCAAGGAGCGCGCTATTAGCGCTATTTGTGTCATCTATCTTTGTTTTACGTTTAATAAACAATGAAGATAGAATGATACAAGTAGCACTAATAGTGTCTCCCCGAATGCACCCCTGGGGGTCGATTATGTATCTCGAAATGAGGTGAAAATTACAAAAGTGAGCAAATTCACTAGTTATTGACCAATTAAATTATGAGTATTCTAGTGAATTTGCTCACTTTTGTAATTTTCACATTATTTCGAGATACATAATCGATCCCCTGGTATCCTTACATCATGGTCTGTTCGATTTGCTTACACAGCATCTTCGCTTTCTTTCTTTTCAGTGCCAAATATATATGTATCTTATTTTAAGTATAAAAAGTGTAAAAAAAGTAAGCAAGTCGAACAGAACTATTTATACGGTTCATCTTTCCTCCTTTTTTCTTAATTTTTTGGAGAAAAAAGAGAAAGAGAGCATTTATACTGATGTCATTGGCTGCGTTCAGCAGAACGTTTGTTTTGCAACTGTTGGAAGTTTCCTTCGCGCTAATTGGATCATACTTTTAGATCTAGAAGAATGGTCCTATCTCAGCAGACAATCATAAAACGGTTGCAAAACTGTTGAGTCTGCTGAACGCAGCCATTATTTATCAAATGATATCACTTTTTATCAAATGAATGATGTCAATCTAGATTTAATAATGAATTTTTAAATGATGTTTAACCTAATTAAAATTAATGTCATTTTTTATCTTATGATTTTTCTGTCTGGACAAAAAGTTTGTTCTTTTCAGCTAAACTTCTCGCAGGTATATCTTTTCTCCTTTTCTCTTCACTTTGAAGAAAAAAATAAAAAAGATGACCAATTCAATTCAGTTAAAAAAAAAATGGGCAGAATAGTACAGTTATTTCTTGATATTTAATCGTTAATTAAATTAATAGGAGCTCGATTAATGGGAGTCCAATCAGAATGACGTCACGCGACAAATCTCGCCATGTTCGAAACGGACCAATCAACGAAGAATCAGGATCAGCTGACATTGCGAACGACGTTTTATATATGAATTTTATGTATGATTGTCAAAATTTAGTAGTATGCGTCATGGTACTCCAGAGGTTTTATGTGGAGTGTATATATACGAGACCATACATATGCATCCCAACTAATCGCGTTTAATTTAAACAAAATATGAATTTAGCGTGATATACGCGCGCGTAATACTTTAACCACACCAGACGCTAATTCAACTGTCAGGATGAACGTCGTCACCGCTTTGAAGTTTTATATAACGAGGATGACAGAAGACAGCGGCCCTGGTATGAAAGTTCTGCTAATGGATAAACAAACGGTAGGCACGATAATTACTGTGAATTACGTTTATTTTTTTTTGTTGCAGCTGAATTCCTCTCCTATCTTTCCTCTCTAATTACATACCTATTTCACTTTAAGCGCAAACAATATAACAGCTGCAAACAGAGCAATAATCGAGGTTTCAAAGATCGTCATTCCTCTGTCATTTTTTTTTAAATTTCAGACAAGTATAGTCAGCCTGCTGTACAGTCAGTCTGAGATATTAATGAAAGAAGTATACCTGTTCGAACGGATAGACACTGCTGCGCATAATGACACATTGAAACATTTGACATGCATAGTATTTGTAAGACCAACAAAAGAAAATATCGATTTGCTTTGTAAGGAGCTCAGTTACCCCAAATATGGAGTATATTATATTTGTAAGTAACATCATGTCCTTGCAAAAATTATGTTTTTAATAAGACGTTGAAGAACTAAGCTGAGAATAAAAAGTATTAATTGTTAATAAACTTAATAAGATTTCAGTAACATTATTGCCAAAGCTGATATAAAACTACTGGCAGAAAGCGATGAGCGAGAGGTAGTCAGGGAGGTGCATGAATTCTATGCAGATTATCTAGCAATTAATCCACACTTATTTTCGCTTGGAATAAATGCCTGCTCCGAAGGTAATATTGTTTCACGAACTTGTTGCTGTATAGATGTAAGAAAGACTTTAACAAACACTATTTTTCATATTATCCATTTGTGTTACAATTAAAGGATTGACTTGGGATCCGGTGCACTTACACAGAACTGTTCAAGGAATTACTTCAGTTTTGTTATCATTAAAGAAATGCCCGTATATTAGATACCAACACAGTTCAGATATGGCAAAGAGATTAGCAGAGAAAATAAGAGAAGTGCTCAGTAAAGAGTCGAATTCTTTTGAATTCAGACAGGAATCTAATCCTCTCCTTCTGATAGTTGATAGGAGAGACGATCCTGTTACGCCGTTACTGAATCAGTGGACGTATCAAGCAATGGTACACGAATTATTAACAATTAATAATAATCGAGTCAACTTATCTCATGTGAAAGGCATTTCGAAAGAATTGAAAGAAGTTGTTCTAAGTGCAGAACATGATGACTTTTATGCAAATGTAAGAAAATTCTTCATTTAATTTGATATGTACATTTATATTTGAAACACTAGCAGAAGTAGATATAAATTAATAAAAATTATACTTTTGAATAACATTTTATGTATAATTATTTTAATTTTTAAAATAATTTTTGAAACTTTATTCTTTACGAAAGATTTTTTATGTTAAAAGAATATATTCTTGAGCAGAATTTGTATCTAAACTTTGGAGAAATAGGACAAACGATAAAAGAATTGATGGATGAATTTCAAAAGAAAGCAAAGAAGCATCAAAAGGTTGAAAGCATAGCCGATATGAAGCACTTCGTAGAGACGTATCCGCTTTTCAAGAAACTTTCTGGTACCGTATCGAAACATGTTACGGTAGTCGGAGAGCTTTCATCTCTTGTGGAAAAGCACAATTTATTAGAAGTATCAGAATTGGAACAAGAACTAAGTTGCCAAACCGATCATTCCTCGCAGGTAATATCTTTACAAAACGATTAAAAAATATTTGATATGTATCTCTTTGAAATGTATACATATATTTTTTTTTATTGTTCTGTTTACAGCTGCAGAAGATAAAAGCACTTATCGGCAATCAAAAGGTACGAGATGTGGATACTGTTCGACTCGTCATGCTTTATGCGCTGCATTATGAAAAACACGCGAGCAATGATATAAACGGTTTAGTAGAATTACTTAAGAAGAGGAATGTTTCAGACAAATATATTAAGGTATTTATACATAATTGATGTGTTTTCGAAAAAAAAATATATAAAGAACTAGGAAAGAAATATATATTTATACATAATATACAAATCTGACATATTTCCAGCTTGTATATAATATACTAGAATATAGTGGTGTTAACACAAGACAGAGTAATTTATTTGATAGAGAAGCAGTTGCTAAAATAACCAAAAAGTTATTCAAAGGATTAAGTGGAGTAGATAATAT